CAGGGTAAATCGAGACAAGAGTGCTCAGGCAACAGCGACACGGTGGTTTTTCTTATGGGGCAGTGCAAAAACGCTTCGCCTTCTGCGTTGAGGTGTGTTTCGTACGCGAGTGAATGGAAACTACCGTCTCGATACGTGCCTTTGCGTCTCTTTGGACTGAGCGGGTTTGGCTCCGTAGTGGCCAAAACACATGGTCCTTCTCATGCCTTGTCTCAGAAACCATTTTCTTTGGAAAAATTGACAGCTCAGTAAACCGACCTTGTTCAATGTGGATTTCGACCGTGTGTAGATATTGAATTGTGTGTGGTATTACACTACAAGCTTGAAAGTTTCCATTTCTATGTACATCCTCCTCTTTCTTCCACTTGCCCATCGTAACCGTTTAGTTATGAATACCGTTATAAACATTATATACGTTAAATGTGTATCTTTCCCTGCTGTTTCGTTTGGTATCTTGGAGGCATCTTGACCCGATTCCCCCGTGCCCTTGCGACAATTTGGATATCATGAAATTGGCCGTTTCATCAAAGACGTTCAAGGAAATAAAATGTGACGCTCATCGTGAGGCTGATTCGCACTTCACGCGAGCTCCGGTTGTTGCCAGCGGCCTCTCTCAGTGTGCCACCACCTCTCCCGATCCTTCTTGTCTGAGACGGTCGAAGACGCGTTCCACCGTCCCTGGCAGCCTTCTCGCCCAACGGCGATCTCCTCGCCGTTGTCAGCTGTCAGATCCGCAAGCTCGACCAGTCCGCCGCGCTCGTCCTTGGCGCCCGGGTCAGGACGCAGGTTATACGTGATGCGGCTCTCTACCGTACCGATGAAGGCCGCCAGTCCATACTTCTCCAGCACCGTGCCGTCCTCATCGATGACGTTCAAGAAGAACCTCGGCAGCGCTGCACGCGCGGCTTCGAGACGAGCCTGCGCCGCGAGCCGGGCTACGTGGAGGTTGGTGCATTCGCGAGGGGCGTCGCTCATGACGGGGGACGCCGGGGCTGTAGGCGAGCGGGACGGCTTCGTCGGCGAGACAGGGCTGTGGGTCGTGCTGGGGGTGGGGAATGAGGAGCTCCGGGCGGGTCCGTTGGGACCGCGGAACCGATCGCTGGCGCTGTCTGTCCTCTCCTGCGGCCGGCAGAGGGCTTGAAAGATGCCTTCGGGATCGTTGGGGCTGCGGAGACTGCGTAGGGAGGGGAACCCGTCGGCGGCGATGCTGCGGGCGAGGATAGAGTCGGCGGCATTGGCATGGGTCGTGTTGCTCGTGATGTCCCAGTGAAGCTTACGGAGGGACGAGGAGGCAAGGTATGGCATGAGCCAAATGAATGTGTCCTCCGGGAGCATGGGCGCCAAGGTCTGGACGAGGGTAAAAGACTCGAGGTGAGTAAAGTTGGAAAAGATGCGGGCCAAGGCGGGCAGGGAATCGAGGTTCGTGTGGCGTAGAGTCAGTTTCTGGATCGCCTGGCTCGTTGGGAGGGTAGCCAAAGCAGAAATGCCGCTGCTGGTGACACCCGGTACGTGGGTGAGTGAAAGTGTACGCAAGGGAGGGAGTGAGAGCAGGGTGCTGTCATTAAAGGCGGTTACCGGCATCCATGATAGGTAAAGGTGCTGCAGAGACGTTAGGTGCATCAGTGCTGAGCTGATGAGGTTATCCGGAGTAAGGGTAGCGCCGGGGAGGCAGTGAATCGACAAAGTCGTGAGGTGGGCCCAGTCGACGTGGAAATCGAGAAATGCTGCACTCTGGTGTGGTTGCAGGTCACCGGGTGTGACGGAAGCATCGTAGGTTGCCTGGGTCATCGCAGCGACATTACTACCCGAGCTCGACTTGAATCGGTGTTGTCGCTGAAAGGGCGAGGGCTCGACGATCCAATCCATGTGCTTGAGGCGCTTGCGCGACGAGAGCGCATGCAAGAGCTTGCTGTACGAGTGGTTATAATGGGGGTGAAGGCCGATGAGGCGCTCAAAATTAGGACATGCCATGATCAGCGCGGCAACCTGATCGTGATAGTCCTCCAGCAAGACCCCGGTAGGGGGGCTTGGAACCTTGAGAGTGTGAACGAGTCCGGCGAGATACGAGTTCGCTCTCAGCGTCCGTCTAAGGAGCATCATGCGCGAGCCGAACGTGACTTTATGCCGCTTCTTTTGAGATGCTAAATCGGCTCCTACGAGTTGAATATCTTCATACCTGAGAAACGCTGTTAGCCAAATAGCGAGGTCGTGGCGAAGGTGTGAGTCTCACAATGCCACTCGCGCAAACTTGCACCATTTCCTCGCCGTGAGAGTAACCGAGCAGACATCCCTCATCCAACATGTCGCGCAGCTTTCCGTAGGCTTTTCGAGATGCAGCTTTTTGAGCTCGCCCAGGATCAGCTCCAAAACCTCTCCGGGCAGCTTCGCAAAGATTTCCCCAGGCTTCGCCTTTTTTCTAAAGACAGTCGTCTGACTGGGCCTCGAGTACATGTAGTCGGGCCTCCACATAGTGGGACTCGAATCGATGCTTGTCCTGTGGCTGCCGTATGAAGAGCTTCTGGATCGTGTCTCAAAGCTTTCTCTCGGGCTGTTGATACTCGTAACGGTGATGGTTGATGCCTGAGAGAGCTTCCTTGGCCTGTTGAGAGCCGTGGTGGGTAGTGATTCGCAAATGAGCTTCGAATCTAAAGGAGCCGTCTGCAAGGCGTATGGCACCCGAGCGATGCGCGGACTTGAGCGCGCGGGCTCTGTTGTAGCCATCGTGGCCATTGTAGACTGTTGCTGTTCACCCTTATGGTGGTACAATTCTGGAGCGCCGAAGTACGCCGGAGCAGGTCCGTGACTGGCGGTCATGAGCGGAGACGACGGGACGGAAACGGAGGCGGCGATAGCTGGACGCGGAGCGAAACGACCAGGGACTCTCAGACGGTTACCATCATGGAGGATGTAATTGGAAGCAGCAGGTGCAGCAGAAGCTCGCCTCTTGTGTTGAAGAGGTCTCGGGTTGCTATGGAGAAGAGACAGGTCGTGTTAGTACGAAGGTACTTCAGGGATCATCCAGCAAACGGAATTCGGCAGCGGGCAAAGTTCCAAGCCAAGAATGGAACAGGTAGTCGGGAAACAAGCAAATCCCAGAAACAAAAGAGCGAAAGGCGCCAACGTGACGTGACGGGGGGTTTCTGTCAAGTTTAATACGAAAGACTTGGAGGAAAGAGAAGGAAAAAAAAGAGAGAAGGAAATTAGAACCTGGAGCCAAAAAAGGACACGCAAAGAACGGCACCGGCACACACCAAGGAGGCTACCGCTGGGCAATCTGCAAGTGCACCCTGGATTCGACAGAGGCTTGCGCGGGCAGAGAGGTGCGTGGGCTGTGCCCGGACCGGCGCTCGCTCTGATGATCCTATCCAGATGGAGTCTGATGAGTGGTCGCCCATCCCATTGTCTAGGGGGGGTGAGGGAGCGATTTGGGGGTCGTCCTTCCTCAAAGACCCCCTTGACCCTTGGCCCTTGTTGGCCCGCCTCGAAGGGGAAACACTCATCAGCCGTATCTCGAGCTACCGAGGACTTAGAACTAGGAGCGCCCCAAGGCTGCGATGTTGGGCGGCGACTACGGATAACGCAGTGCAGATACGCAGTGACGAGCTAGCCGAGTCGCGCAACCCAGCAACGTGGGCGCGATGACAAGAACTCCCTACTTTAGCACTTGCGCTAGGGCTTACACTACGTGCGGCGCGAAGAGGGACAGAAAGAGGCAGAGAAGCAAAACTTGTCTCGTGGTGTTGCCGCTTGGCGGGTAGCAGCGCAATTCTGCCTTGCTTTGCAACTGGCAGAGACGCGCGCCACTGTTCCTGGTGGAAATTAGGACAAGCTCCTGGCGGTCTCTAGGCACTCCGTTCTGCCGGGCCCCGTTGCGATGGCTCCCGCAGATGGCAAGCCGTAAGCCGTCCATCCTGAAGAGTTACACTGAAGCCTCCAAAACTGCGTTTGAGAATCCGCGAAACAAGGGGAGGGGAGGTGAATCTTGATAACGACGCAAGGATGAAAGCACCATCATTCGATCATGGGATCCGCAACGCTCAACTGAAGCTGGAGACGAGATGCAGGGGTCATGGCAGGGGAAAACGTGGAAGAGGAAAGTCGTGGGTACAGAGTAATCCAAGCTCCCATTTCGTGCGTCGATGCATTTCCCATCTCAGAAGTGACAAGTAACTCTGTCTCCGCCCCGCCCAGCCTGGGCAGGAGGATCTCGTGGGGACTTAATCTTGAGGACAAACCAACCGGAAGAACTTGACGGCATCGTAGGAAGTGACTTGTTCAGTCGGGCTGGAATCTCCTGCAGTAGGCCGTAGGCCGAGTGCCTATCCGTATCTGCCGGTCTTGCCAGAAGCGTGCCCGCGGTGTCAAGAGCTATAGACACTAGAGGAAAGATCTCGGATTTCCACGTCTGGAGGACGCTTCCTAAAGCAGCCTCCGTTGGGTTCGGCTCCACTTGGAAAGAAAGGCTCGGGATCGATAATAAATGAGGCGTGGGGCTGCCCCCATTCAGCACTTTCGTCGGTCGAACGACGCGACTCCCACTCGCGAGCCGTGGGCCGAGGCGTCATCGATGTGCTTCATGTGGGCAGAAGCAGAACAGTTCCGAAGAGGAAGAAACAGCCAAAGAATATGGCCAGGGTGATGTAGAAATGGGAAAATGGGATGAACCAAAACGAGCAACCACATCCCAGCGCCATCGCCATCTCATGTCGAGCCGTGCAGGAACGAAATCCCAGACGCAGCAGGTGACGGATCGCGTGAATGAGGAAAAAATAAATTTGCAGCAGTGAATACGAGGCCAAGCGGAACGATGCAAAGTAAAGTGGTTAAACAGAAAAAAAGGCGCGCGACAAGAAGCAGTAGAACAAACAGGCCAGCGAATCAACGGCGCAGTAGAGGAGCCAGTACGTGGAGCCAGTGGTGTACATAGAACGATGGGGAAAATGCAGTCGTCGATAGTGTTGAAAACTGAAAGATGGGGCCAACCACTAGAAAAGAGAGACTTACGGAGCTTCTGATTTGCTGCTATTTTTGACATCCAGGAAAACGTGTGCGTAGACGCCATGTCGAATTTCGTTGGCACGTTTATCGTCCAGCGCTGACAGCGATTGCCTTGCACCCGCTGGCCCAAGGCCACTGCCAGAGACTGCCCGGGCCGCCCGGTAGTCTTTCTGTTCGATAGCGTAGCTGTGGTGCCCGTAGTTGAGTCCGTAGTCGGGATCGAACCGCCGGTTGCCTTTGTAGGAAGTCGTGATCGCTTGGCCCGCAGGCGGGATCTCGTAGTACTGACGTCCGCTGATCATTGTGCCGTCCATGATCCGAGGTTCGTGACCGTCGCTTGCCGATATATCTAGTCGACTGATCTTCTTCTCCTTATTCTCTGTCGTCTCGTTCGTCTCTTTCGGACCGTTCCACGTGCCGTCCAAACCTCGGTGAGTTCCGTCGTGTTGCTGCTGCTGCTCTTACCGACTCTTTGCGCTCTCTTTCTCTCAGCCGCAGTCCTACCACCAAAGTTGGGCTGAACGACGAGGCCACACCTTTTATTTCAACGGACAAAAGGGGGTTGCAACCTTGGCCTTCATGAGGTCGTTGTGCCGTAATTTTAATATACCGGACGTGGGGATAGCTTGGCCAGTTGCCGTTGTTGCGAGGGTGGGTTTTCAATTCAGTAGCTGACCCGCTTCAGCCAACCCAAGAGCATCATCAAGAGTAGGATGCTGTTGCGAACTTGCGATGATGGATGAGCCGGAAAGGGGAGACGAGGGGGAGTAGAGACCGAACAATAAGAGCCAACAACTATAACCTGTCAATACCAACAAAACGAGGGTGGAAAGGGGAAAGATGAGAAGACGAGGGAAGCAAGAGGGCGAGGGCCTTCCGGATTGCAGCCTTCATGCATATGGGTGCATTATATTTGAACTCAAGAACCCCATCTCACGCTCGAAATATCCCATCAAATCGCGGTCTGCGGCCTGGGATCTGGACCTCGTGGTCCCAAGACAAAAAGTCAGAGCCCTGCTCGGCGCTCACGCACTCCCGGTCCTTCCACTCCCAAAAGCCCTTACCAGAGCTGCGCAAAGCAACGCAATATGGCGGCAACATTCTGCACTGCAGCGGCTGGGAGGTGCCTTAGTCGCATGAATGATTGGAATGTGGGTAATCTAACCCCTCTATCCCCCTCGTCTAGCTTGTCTCGCGCCTCCAGCTCCAGGCAATCGACGATGGGTCGCAGCGACTCGCAGCTGCCAGGCACTCGACTCAATACAATGGAAGCACCCACATTTCTGGCGTGGATTACTTGTACCCGCTGCCTGGGAAAAACAAGGTTAACAGCCCGACAGGGTTGGTGATGTTCTGGAGCTCTCACTCAAGCTCCAGGCCATTCCCTGAGTGGCGGAGCGGGAGACCGGCCACGACGACTACCAAAGGCGACGAATGAGCGGCCCGGAGGAAGCCAAGGCATATGGCATCTTGCCCTGGCTCTGTTTCGCGGGGTTGCGACGAACCGTGCCGACATCCAGTAATATCCGTATCATCATGTGCGATGCTGATGCTGCACAGCCAGTCCATTCAGAGTTGCGCACATCTCACTGCCCAAAACACACTGGCTGATAACTCGTCGACTCAGAGGGAGGAAGACAGGGACAGGCCACCGAGGCAGGGTGAACGAGCCTGGCGTCCGCCTCGGGCAAATAGATCCTGTATGCGTAGCTCTTGATCCTCCCTCTGAACCACCTCGTCTCATCATTCTGACCTCGTTTCGTCCGGACCATCACATCAGTTCGGTCAGTGGCGTGTCGGCGGGAGGCTGGGCTGGGGCCAACTAGCAGTCCCGTTTCGCCCTGCAGCGCAGACCAGATGGAAAGTCGATGAGGGAGGGGTGTTTGATGCAGCTAGCCATGACGGGACTCTTCTGCCCACGCAAGTTTTCTTTGGCACAGACGGGGCTGGAACCTGCAAGCTGCAGCCGTTCAGATAGACAACGGCCTTTGTGTACCTTGGCCGCAGCACTGATCCAGGAACAGGAACAGAAAACCAGGAAGTTGAAGTGGGACAAAACTCACTTATCCTGGAAATCCCATCTCCAAGGCCGACACACCGAAAGCGCAATACCTAGTCAAGGGGCTCCATTTTCCCAGCATCCAGCTCTGCCAGGCTCCAGCTTTTGCTTACACCAACACCAGAACCCTGTGATACTGTGAACCCCCAGGCGCCATAGCGCGTGCTGAGGTCGCATCAAAGTCGCCTCGTCAATCTGGGCTGGACGTCTTACGCGCATCCCGTTGCCGCTTCCGCGTCTGCATTCCCGTGCCGTGTGGCCTGCGACGACTGGCCTGCTTCATAGCTGGGTAGGTATCGATCGTCACATCCCGCTTCGATAGCTTGTGTGGTTCGTGGATACAGTGACTATAGTGCCTAAGTGTTCTTATTGTTCACGGATATCCATATAACCTTCTATTGCATTCCTTGAGCCTCGAGGACATCTTGCTGTATTCGCAGAGGCCGTGGAGCGATGCAAAAGAACGTGAGAATGGATAGTCCCGAGAGATCGGAGCAAGGTAACTCGTTCGGGTAAGCTCGTTGCCGTGGTGAGAATCGGTTTCAACGGGCGTCCCTGCTGCTTTCTGTCTTAGTTTGAGGTGGGCTTCTAGCGGCTAACCTCAGACGAACCACCCAACCTCTGGAATTTGGGGAGGAAACAGGGGGCGAAGGAGTTGAAAGGAGCATTCATCGTTGGTTCGTTATCGACAATGATCATTGTAGGGAGGTGAAAATCGTGAAACGAGTCAAGTCGCCTGCGTCAAGCTGTTCAGAGGTCTCCACGATTGCGCGGCGGTTTGTCGAAACTGATGCAAGTTCGAGGCTCTCTTGGTAGATGTGCATCGTTGGTTCAACTGAAGCGGACAGGATGGGCAGAGAAACGCCTCCCTCTGTTTCTTCCTCGGCCTGAGCCTTGCTTGCCTTACCTAGCTTGTCGTTCTTGCCTTCCGTTGCCATGCTCGGGTAAAGGTTGACAGTTTCACGGAACTTGGAAGGCGTCATGTCATGTCATGCCATGGTTTTTTTTTTTCTCCTTCCTTCCCTTCCTTTCTTCTTTCTGTGCTCGACGGGCAGGCACGGAGTGGAGAGACAAAATCGTTTCGAACATGGGGGTTTGTCTGGGTCCCTTCCTTCCCCAAATCCCCAGCGTCTCTGTCATCCAAAAGTGCAGGTATCATCCCCAGCCTCTTCTTTCCTTCCATATTGCATCCTGTGGATCGCACCTTACCTTATGTACATACAAAATGGATCCACGATCTCCATCGAAACCTTCTTGCCGAGACCTCCGCATTGCATCATCGTTTCGTGCCCGTTGTCATCCGTCCTAACGGTTCCTTTGTTGGGCTTACGTATCCGCAAGATCCAAGCCACGGAGTTACCGGTTTTGTTTTCCAAGAAACAAGAAGGACATGACATGTGAATAGCCAACATACGGCATCCCACAGCCGCCTGGGCGAAAGGGGGGGAAAACTCCAAGCGATGCAATCTCTTGTGCCGGTCCTTTCTTTTGTTTATCATACGTTGGCCGTTGAACCTCATATTACACACGTCCCCTCATCCGTGACTTAGCCATGCCTCGAGTGTCTGTTCACTCGTCTGTTCTCATCCTCCGTGCACCACACGAAAAACGTCTGAACCCAGTCCCAAAACCCACGAGGTTATCTCGCTTGGCCTTTCCCAGTCCCTCGGTCGAAGCGGCCGCGCTACAGAGTCTTGCCGTGGACCGGGTTCCGCTGTCAGCTAGAGAGGGTAGTACAAACATAAAACAGCCGACGCAACTTTTGCACGAAGCGTCTCCGTTCAAGGTGAGTAGAGGCTCAAGAGAGAGCAAATAGCTAATGCATTTCCCCGTTGGTCCCCGTCCCGGGCCGGCCTCGGACTTCGGCACCTGTCTGCACTATCACTATGAATAGGTCCTTTCAGAGGGGCCGCCGCCTCTCGGACTGAAGAAGTTCGCTTGGCAACAACACCGGCAACAACATGATGTTACGCCGAGAAAACAAAAACAGTGCGTCGTGATGTTGTTAGAAATACCTCGCGTTCCTCCGGCAACAGCGTTTACTGCACTTGATGTTGAACTCGGTTCTAATGCGAACCGATGAGGAATAACTCTGACCAAGGTATCACTAACAAAAGATTAATTGCGCAAAGTAAGAGAATCTTCGAACAGTGATAGTAGAAACGATTCTTATTGCTGCTGCATCCATGTGCAGCTTAGTTGGTATCTCGAGAGCGCTATACAAACATAATCCAACAAACCTCACCCGTCGTAGAAAGCAGCCACCTAAAAGTACCGCACGAGATCCGGGCCACACGCCCAAATTTCACTCGCCATGCTGAGTTCACCCTGAACTCTAGAAAGTGCTATGAAAATCGCACTTTTGGCGGGGACTGTTCATCGCTCATTTCCTTGTCCTCTGCAGAGAAGCGCAGGCGGCGCACAGGTCTGGCGGGTTCCCCTCCCAAGTCTCCGTTGCCTTCAGGCTTGGAACTACGCGGGCGCTTAAGACCGCCCATGTTTGTACCATTTGCCAACTCATCCTTGACCACCGTCGACTTCATCTCCGTGCCATTTGCCAGAGTATCCTCTTCCGAAGACTGACCGCCAGCAAAACTGCTGCCAAAGATTGGCTGAGGGCGCTTCAGCGGAATGGCCTGCGCCAAGTAATCTTTCTGGTCCTTTGGAAGAGGTATAATGCCGACGTTCAAGATCCAGTTGTAGATGGGTTGGTCGTCTATGATGGACTTGCACTTCCAATGCTCAAACTGCGACATGGTCTTCTTGCGCTCCATGATGACTTCTTCGATGCTGTCCCGGAGGACGAGCGTCTCGACCGTCACGGGTTTCTGCTGACTGATGCGCCGGGCTCTGCCAATGGCTTGGGCTTGGATCTGGGGGTTCAGAACGGGGTTGATAAAGTAGATTCGCGAGGCAGCCCTCATGTCGAGACCAATAGCGGCCTGCGACAAGTCCATGAGAATGACCCTGGATATTTTCTTAGCATACGCAAAAAAACGAGAGTCCACTGAAAACGAACCTGATCGTAGGGTTGTTATTGAAAGTGTCCACGTACTCCATCTTCCGGGCATACGTGAGCTTGCTGGCATAAATCAGGTGACGCACGTGAATCTGGATCACAATGTTAATTCGGAATCACCTGTCGTCGAAATGCTCAAACTCACTACTTCAAGAAGACCCGCCAGATACCATGCCACATTCTCATTCTCGTAGAAGATGATCATCTTCTCTTTTTCTTGGTGCTCGACCACAGCG